TCATGTTTCAGAAGTTGTGGAAGTCTGGTGAAGTTCCCACGGGCTGGAAAAGGGGAAACATAGCCCCTATCTTTAAAAAGGGGCAGAAAGAAGACCTGCAGAACTACAGGCCAGTCAGTCTCACCTCTGTGCCTGGCAAGATCGTGAAGCAGATCCTCCTGGAAACTATCCAAAGGCACATGGAAAATAAGGAGGTGACTGGGGACAGCCAACAAGGCTTCACTAAGGGCAAATCCTGCCTGACTAATTTGGTGGCCTTCTATGACGAGGTTACAGCATTGACGGATAGGGGAAGAGCAACTGACATCGTCTACCTGGATTCAGGCAAAGTATTTGACACTGCATGACATTCTTGTCTCTAAATTGGAAAAACAAGGATTTGAAGGATGGACCACTCAGTGGATAAGGAATTGGCTGGACGGTCCCACTAAAAGAGTTGCAATGAGTGGCGATGTCCAAGTGGAGACCAGTGACAAGTGGTGTTCCTCAGGGGTCAGTACTGGGACCAGTGCTATTTAACATCTTCGTTGGTGACATGGACAGTGGGATTGAGTGCACCCTCAGCAAGTTTGCAGATGACACCAAGCTGTGTGGTGTTGTGGACATGCTGGAGGCAAGGGATGCCATTCAGAGGGATGGAGAGGTGGGCCTGTGAGAACCTCATGAAGTTCAACAAGGCCAAGTGCAAGGTCCTGCATATGGGTTGGTGCAATCCCAAGCACAAGTGCAGGCTGGGCAGAGAATGGATTGGCAGCAGCCCTGAGGAGGACAACTTGGAGCTGTTGGATGATGAGAAGCTCAACATGAACAAGTATGTTGACGGTATGGACATGGACCTGTTGCAATGGGTCCAGAAGGGGGCCATGAAGATGATTCAAGGGCTGGAGCACTTCTATGAAGACAGGCTACAAGAGTTGGAGCTGTTCAGCCTGGAGAAGAGTAGGCTCCAGGGAGACCTTCCAGCAGTCTTCCAGTTCTTAAAGGGGGCCTACAAGAAAGGTGGAGAGGGACTTTTCACAAGGACAAGAGGCAATGGCTTTAAACTGAAAGGGGGCAGATGTCAATGAGATCTAAGGAAGAACTTCTTCACTATGAGGGTGGTGAGGCACTGGAACAGGTTGTTCAGAGAATCTGTGGATGCCCCATCCCTGGAAGTGTCGAAGACCAGGCTGGATGAGGCTTTGAGCAACCTTATCAAAGTAGAAGGTGTCCCTGCCCATGGCAGGGGAATTGGAACTAGATGATCTTTAAGGTCCCTTTCAACCCAAAACATTCTATTATTCTATGCATCTAATTTTAGAAATTGCTACAACTTTGAAGAAACAAACTGTCAACCTCCTGTCTCAGAGTCTATGGCAACCAACTGCAACATTAGATCCGAGATGATCTTCAAGACTGGTTTTGGTATCCACCAAGCAATCCTTTCGCCTTGCTTCACAAGGAAGAGGGTGAAAACCAGATTTCAGAGCACTATCATTTCCCTCCTTTTTAAGATTACATATTAAAAAGATCTCAAGAAGAAATTAAAAAAAAAAAATTCACTGCGGGTCAACTGCAAGCACCTTCTTTCCCAAACGACACAGCACATCTGTTTTTTAATTTGTTATTGCTTCTATTCCTTGAAAAGCTTGCATTTCCCATTATTTCCAGCAAATAAACAAGCAAGCCGAGGAACAAATCTAGTAGAGATTAACTCAAAACCTAACAGCACTTCAGAATCTGATACATCTCAGTCAGATAAAACAGAATGCAGAACTACACAAAGAAGGTATCTTATATGCTTAGTTGAAAGGTATGCAACTATGAACAACAAGAGCTGAAAAGGTGAAAGAAAAATCACCAGAGCTGGTCTAAAAATACCGGATTTTTATAGATTCATAGATTTCTAGGTTGGAAAAGACCTTAGAGATCATCCAGTCCAACCGTCCCTAATCCCCATTAAACCATATCAAGTAGTTCATCCACCCTTTTCTTAAACACATCCAGGGATGGGGACTCAACCACCTCCCTGGGCAGCTTATTCCAGTGGCTGACAACCCTTTCAGAGAAGAAATTCTAACATCCAACCTGAATCTCCCCTGACTAAGCTTATACCCGTTTCCTCTTGTCCTATCATCCAACACTAATGTAAAGAGCCCTTTCCCCACCTCCACCATCCCTTCTCAAGTATTTGTAGGCTGTCATCAGGTCTCCCCTCAGCCTCCTCTTCTCCAGGCTAAACAGCCCCAACTCCCTCAGCCGCTCCCCATAAGTTTCATTTTCCAGCCCCTTGACCAGTTTAGTCGCCCTTCTCTGGACCCGCTCCAGGAGCTCAATATCTCTCTTAAAGCGAGGGGCCCAAAACTGGACACAATATTCCAGGTGCGGCCTCACCGGTGCCGAGTACAGGGGCAGGATCCCTGCAGAGTAATAATCTGAGGTTCAGAACTATCAGCATGAAGACCAGTTGGATTCATGAATTTGCCATTTAAATTAAGAGCACCTACACATCGCTCCCATTATATGAAACTAAAACCAAAGCCACAGGATATCACAGAAGCAAAATCTCCCTCCGCACCTCCGTATCTCCCCAGCAACCCCAACTTTTATCAACAGTGTCTTTACCATAGTTGCTGTGCTTTGAGATGATTCTTCTTCCGTACAAACTGTCGACACAGCCAGGGAAGGCAGCCTGGATGAAGAGGATAACGTTGATGTCTCCATGCCACTGTCCTCATTGAGAGCAGAAAGACCAACCATATGGTGTCCATTCAGTTCACTAGCTTTACTCTGAGCACAGGTCTGCAAAGAGCTCAACAAAGTGCCATTGCGGAGACAGGTAGTGCTGTGGAAAGTGCTCGTGAGCTTTGATGACTTCTGATCACTCTCATCGGAGTCAAGTTTAGGAAAGGACAGGGATTTGATATTGCTCACTGAAGTGATAGGGGACAGGGACACTTTGGAAGACAAGGACATCTTTTCACAGTTTCCCAACTGCGGTAAAGTGATAAAGCCATTGGGTTTGTGAATGGGCTTGAAGTCCAACGCGGCCCTTTCTATAGATGCCAGAACTTCCTCATCTTGCAACACAGACTCAGACCCTCCTTTGGGCAAAGTATTATCTAACAGCTGGGCAACAATTGGCCCAGTAGTACCAACATGAATTTCAAGAATATTTTTTAATTCCTCCTTATCATCGATGGTTTTTAATTCCAGTTTGTCAAATGGGTCTTCTTCACATTCAAAATCAGCTGGGTTGAAGTCTGCTTTTGGACGAGGTGGACTGAGAACCTTTTGCTTCACAGAGCTGCTGTTGGCTGGCGTGGGAGTAAGAATGTTATTGTGCTGCAGGCTGGCGAGGATGGGGTTGATAGGAGGAGGCATGGCCTCAGGGCAAGGTCCCTCTGAGAACCCCATTTTGTTGCTGTCCTCTGGAGCCACTTTTGAGTTTGCTAGTGCTTCTTTTGCCTTGCGTTCGGCTTCTCTTTGCGCAGCCTGAATTTTTTTGATATCTTCAGCCCACTCAATTGTTTTCTTTTCCAGTGAGAAGTCATACTGATAGTGGGTGGAGGGGAAAGGCACAGAGGGGAAAAAAATAATATATATATAAATTATAAGGATCATAGCCACTACTTCTAACAGCAACATAAGTAACACAGAATAAAAGTTACACAAATTACCATGAACAAACATCATTATTTTTACCAGCATCTCAAGTAACCTACAGACTGGCAAAGCTACGAGACACCAGAAGTAGTTCATTTTGCCTCTAGCAGCAAACCCTGTCTATAGCCTGGATTAGAATATCGTTATTTTGCCTCCTTCCTACATTTAGTTTTGCTTTAGAGCTTCTGATCAGAGCCCAAGGTCCGTTTCACAGCCCTCCCACGACAGCAGGGAAGTCCAATGCACTACTAGATGGACAATCATACCCAGACCTGGCACCACTGAACTACCTCCTGTCTACGAGTGTCACAAGTCATTCAAGACTAGGGGAGAGTATTTTCGCATTCAAAGACCCATATGGTATTACTGAGCTCCCCCTAAAAGATCCCCAGGAACAGGACATCAGAGTTTCACACCCACTAGTTTAAGACGTAGTGGTGTTCTCACCTAGTGGGAATGGCTCACCAGCCAAAGAGGATATACCAGCTCCACCAATGACAACCACCTGCAGTAGCAGACTGTGCTGCACTTACCAGCATGATAGGATCCCACAAGCTTTTCTCATTTAATATTAGCTCCTTCAGGGCCAGGTCAGCACAGGAAGACATTTATAAGCTACTCACTACCAGTTTACTGCCACCATAGTGACTTGGTTGAGAGGACAAAATTTTGAACAGACTAAACCTACTTAAAGCTTTAAGATCTTATGGAGAATGAAAAGCCTCAAATGCTCTTCAAATAACCACAAAACATTCAGAGAACATAGCCTACAAGCTAAGTCCAAGGTGTAACCTACCTGTGACTCACCAGAAGTCATAAGATACCTTTGCCAGGATATTGGCACATAACTAAACAGGTGTGTTCTTGCCATGGGACTGCTAGCTCATAAAAATTCCTGGCTCTAAAGACCAACAAGCCAGCAAAGCTTGCTAGGCCTCTACTAGGACTCGCTATGTGTTGTGTCACATCCCATCGTATAGTGGTGTCATGGTTTGATATGGGGGTGGAGGTTCTGGTGGCGGAAGCTGCCCACCAGATCGGACTCCCATCCCCCTTGAGGCTTAAGCCAATTGGCGCCTTTGCGAATTGCCCTATTTACGTTTGGACAAAGGAATCGGAAAGGTGTGCCTTAGCCCAGGAGCGAGGAGAAGGGAGAAGGGGCACTGCTCCTGCTTCCCAGCGCCTGGCTGGGCAGCTGCCCAGGCCGGGCTGGTGCCACCCACTGAGGATGGCGGCAGCAGGGCCGCTTGGGGAACTCTGTGAGAGCTCCGCTCCCGGGGTGCCCACCAGGCTGAGTTCACCCAGAGAGGACTGAGATCTGAGAGAAACTGCCACACAGACACCAGGTCAGTAAAGACGGAATGGGACAAGATGTGCCGGAGCTGAGTTTCCCTTGCAAGTAGTGGTGAGACGGCAAGTGGCCCCCTTGCAGTCACAGCGTCCTGGGGGAGCAGAGACCCACTCGCAGCCCATGAACACCCATGTCGAGAAGAGATGCCAGAGCCTGAGTACGGTACACATCTAGAGTCCATGGGACAACCCCCATCGATGGGGAGGTGTTTTGTTTAGAGGAGATGCCTGAGCCCAAGGACAGTTGTGAAGCATGGGCACAGGCAGAGATGCATTTAGAGCCTATATGACGACCCACGCCAGAGCAAGTGGCAACGACTCTCTAAGAATCCAAGACTGTGATAAAGCCCACACCGAAGCAATCCGTTGGGGAAGGATTGTATCCTGCGGGTAGGACTCTCTCTGGAGAAGTCTCTGGATTGACCCCTGATTCCTCAGGGGTCAGTACTGGGACCAGTGCTATTTAACGTCTTTGTTGGAGACATGGACAGTGGGATCAAGTGCACCCTCAACAAGTTTGCAGATGACACCAAGCTGTGTGGTGTTGTGGACACGCTGGAGGGAAGGGATGCCATCCAGAGGGACCTTGAGAGGCTGGAGAGGTGGGCCTGTGAGAACCTCATGAAGTTCAACAAGGCCAAGTGCAAGGTCCTGCACGTGGGTCAGGGCAATGCCAAGCACAAGTCCAGGCTGGGCGGAGAATGGATTGAGAGCAGCCCTGAGGAAAAGGACTTGGGAGTTCTGGTGGATGAGAAGCTCAACATGAGCCGG